AATTTTAATTTACACTAACTTAATGCAATTTGGAATTTAGGGATAGGCACCTATAAGGAAGCTACTGGCTTTTTTAAAGGTCTTAATACCGGAAAAGAGGCTATATACTAGGCAGGCTGCTATCTTTATAGCTATAGCCTATAGGGCCGCTAAAGCCTTCTTAAAAAAGCCTACAGAAAGGACCCTATTATACTTCCTTCTTCTCCCTAGGATCCTAGGGTTAAGGCTATAAAAAGGAGGCCTAGGTACCTTATTAAGGTCCTACCCTACTAATATCCCTACCCTAGAGAGCCTACAGCCCTTATAGCAGCCCCAAAATGGCCCTACAGTAGCCAGCCTAGCCTAAAAGGCAACCAGGCTACTAAAAAGAGGCTACCTAAGCCGTGCTGCTAGGGCCCTTATAGACCCTACCCCAGTAGCTCCTAATACTGCTAAAAATAGGGCTATATTACTAGAAAAGCACCCTATTGGCTCTAGAAACCCCTTTTAGGGCAGGACCCGCCTAAAACCTGGCTAACTAATTACACTTAAGGCTATTATAGAAGCTATTAGGTCTATAGGGAAGGAAAAAGCCCCCGGCCTAAGTGGCTAGACTAGGCCCCTACTAGACCTAGTGGTAGCTAGAGAAGATTCCCCTATACTAGCCTTCCTGAGGCTGCTAGCTAATATAATCCATCAGGGCATAGCCCCAGAGGCTGACCTTCTATATACTAGCCGCCTTATAGGCCTAGAAAAGCCAGGTAGGGGGGTTAGGCCTATAGCTATAGGGGATCTTATCTATAAGGTAGCTATAAAGGCAATTCTTATAACCTCCTATAGGCCAGAGATATTGCTACCTTTTCAGCTAGGCATAAACAGCCTAGGGGGGGTTAAACCTGCTATTTTCCTTATAGAGGAGGCTATTTTAGGCCCTAATAGTGCTGATTTTTAGCAACTGACCTCTATAGACCTTACTAATGCCTTTAACTTGGTAGATAGGGCATCTATAGCTGCCTCAGTAGCTACTTATGCCCCTACCTTCTATAAGGCAGCAGCCTGGGCCTATAATAGCCCTTCTCTTCTAGTTACAGAAAAGGGAGGCTTTTTAGCCTCTTTTAAGGGAGTTAGGCAAGGTAACCCCCTAGAACCCCTTCTATTTTCCCTAGCTCTTCGGCCTACCTTAAAGACCTTAGCGGCCAAGCTGCCTAATACAGCCTTAATGGCCTATTTAGATGACCTCTATATCCTTAACCCGGCCCCTAATGGCACCTTAAAGACAGCTAGGAAGGTCTTCTTAAGGTCCCCCTTTTAGCTTAACCTAGCTAAAAGTAAGGAAATAGCTATAAGGGACCTAAAAGAGGAAGGAATTAAGGCCTTAGGCT